CATCCAACAAAAGAAAGCGGTCAAGAACTCCGTGAGCAACATTGCTGAGTTGACAATTAGATGCACATTTGCTGCCCCTGGCGGCCAACAACCACACAGCAAAGCTGTGCTGCGAACTTCATCATTCCTGATGAGGTTCAACATTAAGAGCATCATGTTGAAAGGTCATGCCGGTCGGTGAGGTTGCTCAGTTGATGTCTCTGTATACATCTCTCTCTCTCTTCTGAAGATCAGCGTATGCACATGCCTCAATGCAGTTGTGACTCCGCAGCCATTTCTCAGAACTACAGTTGTTGAAACATATTTAGGATCGCACACAGATGGACGAGGACGACGACAGCAGCCTATGGGGATCCGAAGAGATTGATGCCTTCCTGAGGAAGGATGACACCACCACATCCTCCCATGCAGTCAGTCACACACACAAGCAAAAAACAAAGCACACAACGAAGACAAAAAAGAAGAAAGACAACAAAGACAAAAAGGACAAAACAGTCATGAAAACAAAGAAAACACGCAACATCTCACCAGCATCCCAATCCACAACACAGCAACGACGCCAACATCCACATACTACAAGACGAAAGAGGACACGCTCTTCGCATTCAACATCATCAGCGTCACCTACGGCAACGTCACACATGGCTGAGGACGCACATCGATCTCCATCGCGAGATCCTTGGTCTTCTGACTCGATTGCACCTTACGATATTGTGCACCCTACTATTCAGCACAAGCGGTCCAAAACCGCTTGTGCAAAAATGCTGGTACGTGCAGGTTTTAGGTGTAGATGCCATTTCAAGATCATGAGTGACTGTCCCAACAAACTCGCTGTTGGATCCTAATACTCAGGACGGATTAAGGTTGCAAGATTCGCTAACGGTGACAAAAAGCCTGCGCATGCGAGTGTCAGCACGACACCACTTTGTTGTTTCGCCTGAGCACATAGCATGTCCATGTTGATTTACATTCCTTGTTCAAGCGTTTGTCGGTTGGTAGCAGCAAAAATATGACAAAGCGAAAGGCTGCCGAGGCCGGCCTTCCATGGTACTCCATGGCAGGACAATGTTTTCGGATGACTGTTGAAATTCCACCCGACCGCATCACCAGAGACAAGCACATGTTCTTACACGTGGTACTTTGTCTGGGTGACAACGTTCTACAAGCTCGCAAGATCTTCTCCTACCGCATCAAGGAGATCACCGGCAGAACTCCTAAAATCCCAGCTTTCTTCTTCGAACAAAACCGTCGACGACTACATGATTGGGATTCAGTCACCACATTAGCCACGTTGAAGCCGGTGCTTTTTGTTAGAACCTGTTCGGATCAGGAACTACGACAATCACCCGATCGCTAGTGACAGCGAGAAAAGTGCGCCATTCACTCCTTTTGCCACGCATCAGACCTTTCACTCTACTTGAAGCATGTACGCCCCATTGGGGCTGTGTGTGTGTGAACCTCCCTAGCACATGGGAGCAGAGGGTCACTCCTACACTGTTTGCAATTTTTGCTTTTCAACTTAATCAGACATTGGACATTTACCAAATCAACTGTTGCAGGGGAGTGTGGCACTTGCGTCCTACCACACTCAACGAAGCTGTGGATGCAAGTGGGAAGCGGGACCTGATCAGTCCTGTGTACCTGCACAAAATTGAGCTGGGGCCCCTGTGCCAGCCCGATTAGAAGGCCCCTGTGCCAAGATTAGAGAGTTTTCAGTTGCCATTTTTTGGCGGTTGATTCGACAACAAACAAGTTGTACGGTTGCCACAATCTGACAAGCTTCTGCAACATGAACAACATGCCTCTCTTTTTCCTCTTGCACTCGTACTCTTGGCCGAATCCATCAGTGTGGTGTGTGTGTGTGTGTGTGTGTGTGTGTGTGTGTGTGTGTGTGTGTGTGTGTGTGTGTGTGTGTGTGTGTGTGTGTGTGTGTGTGTGTGTGTGTGTGTGTGTGTGTGTGTGTGTGTGTGTGTGTGTGTGTGTGTGTGTGTGTGTGTGTGTGTGTGTGTGTGTGTGTGTGTGTGTGTGTGTGTGTGTGTGTGTGTGTGTGTGTGTGTGTGTGTGTGTGTGGTGTGTGTGTGTGTGTGTGTGTGTGTGTGTGTGTGTGTGTGTGTGTGTGTGTGTGTGTGTGTGTGTGTGTGTGTGTGGTGTGTGTGTGTGTGTGTGTGGTGTGTGTGGTGTGGTGTGGTGTGGTGTGTGTGTGGTGTGGTGTGTGTGTGGTGTGGTGTGTGTGTGTGTGTGTGTGTGTGTGTGTGTGTGTGTGTGTGTGTGTGTGTGGTGTGTGTGTGTGGTGTGTGTGTGTGTGTGTGTGTGTGTGTGTGTGGTGTGTGGTGTGTGTGGTGTGTGTGGTGTGTGTGGTGTGTGTGGTGTGTGTGTGTGTGTGTGTGTGTGTGTGTGTGTGTGTGTGTGTGTGTGTGTGTGTGTGTGTGTGTGTGTGTGTGTGTGTGTGTGTGTGTGTGTGTGTGTGTGTGTGTGTGTGTGTGTGTGTGTTTGTGTGTGTGTGTCTTGTGTGTGTGTGTGTCTGTCTGCGTGTGTCTGTCTGTGTGTGTGTGTGTCTGTCTGTGTGTGTGTCTGTGTGTGTGTCTGTCTGTGTGTGTGTGTCTGTGCGTGTGTCTGTCTGTGTGTGTGTGTGTCTGTGTGTGTGTGTCTGTGTGTGTGTGTGTCTCTGTGTGTGTGTGTGTGTGTCTGTGTCTGTGTCTCTGTGTCTCTGTCTCTGTCTGTGTCTGTGTCTGTGTCTGTGTCTTCTCTGTCTCTGTCTCTGTCTCTGTGTCTCTGTCTCTGTGTCTCTGTCTCTGTCTCTGTGTCTCTGTCTCTGTCTCTCTGTCTCTCTGTCTCTGTGTCTCTGTCTCTGTCTCTGTGTCTGTGTCTGTGTCTGTGTCTGTGTCTGTGTCTGTGTCTCTGTGTGTGTGCTTGGGTGTGCGTGCGCGTGAGGGGCTGTGCGTGTGTGGGGGTGTGCGTGCGTGGGGGTGTGCGCGGGTGGGTGTGTGGGCGTGTGCGCGTGTGCGCGTGTGCGCGTGTGCGCATGTGCGCGTGTGCGCTTCTGCGTGTGCACGTGTGCGAGTCCGCGGGTGCGGGTGCGCAGGTGCACGGGTGCGCGGGTGCGTGTGCGTGTGCGGGTGTGCGTGTGCGCGTGTGCGTGTGCGTGTGCGTGTGCGTAAGTGGTGCTTGGTCACACACACACACACACACATACAAATGTGTGCATTCTGGACGGTAGTGCTGTTGTGGCTTCAAACAGACCTCCCGTGACAGTTTTGAAACTTTACACCACATCGGACATCCAGCGTCGGGCAGCGCAATCCACATCTGTCGTGGTCCTTCAAACGGCCAAAACACCGAGACGCAGACTGAGGCACAGAAACATACCAAGACGCGCAGTCGGATCCAAACAAGGCATATGTGCCCGGCATGACAGCCGTCTCCAAAAACTCAACCGTTTCAATGATGTCGATCGACATTGCGTTGCAAGATGCCCCTAGATTTCTGGCCCATGGCGCCGGACCTCCCACGTTAAAACTCCCAACAACAGAACAGACCAAACGAGCGAAGAAGCGGAAAACGCCGTGCCGCACAAGCAAAAAAACGAAAAGCACTGAGTAACAAGCATGCCGCAAGTCGGCATACCACGAATGCCAGCGTGTTGATGCACGATATCATCCATGTGCTGCTCACATGTGGGTTGTACATGTGTGAATATGGCTGGTGCCTTCGTTGACTCACCCAATTGCACTCCCATCCAAACCCAAGCGATTTGATCGAAGATCTTGTCATCCCTCGTGCCGACCGGGATTCGTCACACACTTTCCGAAACGCCGACAGAAAGGTGTACGATGCCAACTCAGGTGCGAATTCCAACTCATGCCAACTATTCAGCTCGGAAACCAATGCCAACTCTCACCTGCACCTCCCTCGCAGATGCTTTGAACCGTGCAGGTACGGCGACTATAACCAAGCACAAAGGTCTTCTTGGTGTCAGCCCCCTGCGATCCCTGGCACCCCCTGCTTGTTCTTTCAAAATCCCGCATGGTCTTGAGTGGCAACACACACGAAACCATTCTGGCAATCGGCTCGGACAGGTGAAACCACTGCAACTGCCTCGCGTATGGGAGATTCCTCCACAGGAATCTCTTCAGCATTCTTCAGCAAAAAGTGCGAGAAGGTGCTGATGCGACAGGTTTGCTGTGCGCTCTGATTTTTTCTGTGGCTGTGCAGGCGTGCTACATGGCCACCCCGAGTTCGCAGAACAAAGTCGCAAGCCTCAGCCTCAGCAGTGCCAGCACACAGGGTCTGAGAGCTTCACAAGCACGGCCGCAGCATCAACATCTGGAGGGTGGGTAAGTAACAACAGCAACTCCTTCAGGTATCGATACCAACTCTGTTGCAACCTTGTGCCAACATGCCAACAGATCTAGCAGACGAGCTGGGAGAACACCCGTTGACAGGATGCGCACCCAGACACACTTCGCAAAACGCCGACAGAAAGGTGTACGATGCCAACTCAGGTGCGAATGCCAACTCATGCCAACTATTCAGCTCGGAAACCAATGCCAACTCTCACCTGCACCTCCCTCGCAGATGCTTTGAACCGTGCAGGTACGGCGACTATAACCAAGCACAAAGGTCTTCTTGGTGCCAGCCCTCTGCGATCCCTGGCACCCGCTGCTTGTTCTTTCAAAAATCCCGCGTGGTCTTGGGTGGCAACACACGAAGCCACACGCATGTGCACATGCCTCAAACCGGGTTGGGTTTCGGCAGCAGTCGATCGGCCAACAGTGCCCTGCTGATCCATTGAAGCATCCCTTTACGCTCATCGAGTCCCCAGCCCCCATCACCACCTCCCACATCTGTGAAGGACTCGAACATCATCCAGGAGCTTACAGGCATGGAAGCAACATGAAAACCCCAGAACACTGAAGCCCTAGTCATTACGACATGAGAACCCCGAGCATGAGACCCCCGTTGTCGGGAGATAGCGAGCAGTTTCCTTCCACAAGTTTGAGTTAGATTTCGGCTATGGGTGCCATCGACACCTCAGCGCCATTCGCCGACATGATCAGCTTGGTCGGCCAGACCTGCCACGCCGCGACAGCTGTTGTGTAAGGTGAGCTGGCTCCGGGTAGCTTCGGAGTGGATTCTTAACCAGATCACTCACCTGAGAGGTGATGTCGCTGTTGACCTTCACGCACCTGTCACACGAGATGTCAACGCTCACTCGCACCACGGCAAAGCACCCAATGCGCCTGCAGAAGATGCTTTGATCCTCTTTTCTCCAAGCCCTGGCAGTGATTGCTAGTGCTTGGTCGATTTGACCTCTCCGGCTGCAAGCACTGGGCGCACTTCAAATCAGGCAAGTCCAGATTGAAGGTCACGGTCGGTCGCATGAACATATGCTGTCGCAGGATGCCTGGCCGTCACTGAGCACAAACCCTGACATAGCCACACACGACCATCCACCTACATGTCGTAGCATCAAGCGGCACCAAGGCCCACGCCATCATCCGTTACTGCTTGTCTTGCAGTGGTACGAGACATGCTTCACGGTCTGTATCACCGAGGCTAGGCATCTGGTTCCACTACACATATCTGCTTACGTGCCGAAGCACACCACGAACCCGACTTGCTTCACGTTGTCTATTGCTGCCAACTACGACAGTACTGATCATTCAAGAATTAGCGAGGGGCTGTCTAAGGCAAAACCAACTTCTGCAGACTGTGGACCGCTGGACTTGTGCTGCGCCCCAAGAATCAAACATCTAGCTGTGGACCAGGATGTAACACGTGGCGAGCATGCCGGATGGCTCGATAATCGCATTGAAAGGATCCATGTGCCTGGCTACATTCTCAGACGGTGCATGTCAGGGGGGGACGCGCTCTGTGTGGCCAGCCTGAAGCGGCAGAGTGGGCACCAGAAGTTCTCAAGAGCCCTGGTGTACTCGGCGGTTTGCAAGTCGAAGTCTGTGAAGCAGTACCTGACGAAAGCATGACCGCTTTGTGATGCAGCTTACTTGGACTATGTTGGGATAATCAGATTTGGCAAGCAGCTGGTAGGGGCACGTACACTTCACCACTCGGGCCGCCAGCATGCCAATGTGCCCTATGTCGCTCTCCTTGGAGAACGGCCCGGTGCCAAGCTTGTTCCTGGAGTGTCACCCCAGTGATTTTGTATGCAGATCCAATGCAGGAAACTTCAAGCAAGTACTTTCTCCAGCGCACAACTTGCGCTTGGCGCGGTCTGCTTGACTTGGCCGAAACGGTGAAATTGAAGAATCGTTTGCGAGCAGAGAGCAAAAGTCCTCCCGACAGTGCCCTCGATCACAACGTGGTGAGAATGGGAAGTCACTCACACAGTGAATTGCAGCTGATCTTCATGCTGCTTCCTGCGCAAGCCGTCTGTATAGATCCATTCTAAAGCTCGGGCTGGCGACAGAAGCTTGCAGTAGTGGTTGCCTGCTCCATACGATGGACCAGACATTGGGTAGAATGCATACCACGAAGATACTTCGGTTCCTTTGGGCGTGTCTTCAAAGTGCAAGTAATTCCAGATCCACCATGGTCCTGCTGGTGGGGTAGGCTTCTTATCCGCGACCATAATAAGTGGTCGACCCGTCTGATTGAAGCGGCTTGCAGCTTTTGCCGATGCAGCATGCAGGGCTAGGTCGTAGGCTGCTTGGTTGATATTCTTGCAGCGGTCGCCCTCGTCCAGCTCGGGAGAGCTCGAGTGACCAGTGGTGTTGAAGACCAACTCGCGACTTGCCAGCTTGGTGGCGATCTCGATGGCTGACGTGGGAGCCGCACCATCGTCCTGCAAAGCGAGCTTTTTGTCTGCCAGCACACCCGCCTTCTCCTCCTTGATAATTTCCCAGCCGTTCAAGCCAGCGAGAGTCTGTGCAACAGAAATCTGTACATAGCGCAACTGGGTGATGCTGCTGCTGGCAATACCTTGCTGGAAGGAAATGGTTGGTCGATGTTTCGAGCGGTAGTATGGTGGAATCAAATCCTCATCACTTAGCAGACGGAATTCGTTCTGTGCTTTGGCCCAGGAAACCCCTTCCGGAAGGGGTTCGGCCAACTTCTGCTGGGCATCTGCCGCCCATTGACTACTGCCAGACTCATCACTGTTCGACGTCCACCACCAGCTGCCTTCCTGTTCCACAAACATGCGCACAAATGGCTCGAAGAAGGTTGCTTCAAAGTCCTCCCGCAAGGATTCTTCTTCTACGAGGTAGTCTGTTATGATCGCTGCGACTGCATCGCGAGCTTTGTCTGAGCCAATCTCACTTTCGAGGTCAACTGCTGCAACAGCTGCTGGCACCGAGTCAAGGATGTCGCTGTGACTCATTCCAGGGACAAGCTTGACCTTGTGCTGTGGCAAAGCTTGTTGTGTAAACCAAGCCTCTGCCAAACGGGAGACTCGAACGACTCCATCCAGTTCTCCACCGATGCTCAACGTCGGCAGCGCATATGCAGGAGCCGGCACAGCTGGCCCTGTGCAATTGTGAACTCCATCCGGCAGGTAGCCACCTGGACACAGTGGTTTCCCTGGACAACGCAAGCTAGGTTGCTTCTCCCAGGTCTTGGCACATGCTGCAATGCTAGGACGCCAGTTGCGTTCAAGGAAGCCGGCGATCAACACGATTGCAGTTTTGGCTTCGAAGTGTTTGGACGCAGCGTAGGCTTGTGCTGCGGTTCCGGTCCCAGAAGACCCCATGCCATGGCTCATGTAAACGAGCGAGGACCCCGGATTGGCTTTCAGCAACTCTTCAAGTGGCTGCTCCATCTCCGCAAATGTCTGAAAGGATCCTTCGGGCACCAGGATCTCCAAGCCTTTCCGACTACCCTGCTGCTTCACTGCATCCAGGATACCCGAGTACATGGTGTCGGAACGTCCCAGAAAAGCCAACACAACAGGCTTCGCCCCCTGGGCTGTCTGAAGATGCGCCATGGCCCACATCGGGACCAAAGCCTGAAACATCGCTGCCGCTGCCCACGCCATGGCACGAACAAAGTCCGTTCCACCGTTCTAATCGTTACAAGTTGGAATCTCGTGAGATGCGCATTTCTTTGGCCGGCTAGCACGTAGCACGTCTACCTAAGAGAGGGACGTGACATGCTACTGGTAGAGCAACCCAGACAAATCCAGCTTGACAGGCGAAGCATTCCACCTTCACGCTTTGCGTCATCTATGCAACAGGAAGCAAGAAGACTCCGCTGTGCTCCTGAAAGCGACACAGGCTTCGAAGCGAATGCCAAGCGGAAGGTTCCGCCTTGGAAATGCCACTGTCGTACCAAAACAAAGAAAGCAGCAGAAAGAATGAATAAGCATGAGCCACCGACAAGTCCACATCCGATTGTGGAAAGGGTATCAGCTCCGGTTCCTGCATGAGCTCTCCCACGAAACACTCCAAGGCCAGACATTCCGGTCCTGCTCCGGTGACACATCTATCAAGGCCCCACTGCTGGGGTGTGCCTGGCCGAAGGTCCACGGAACGAGCTCTCCCTCTCTCACACTTTAAACACGTGACAGAGCTGCGAACAGCCACTTTCTCGCTCCGACTGCTCGAAAACGTACCAGTGCTCCCGTGATCGGAGGTACCTGAAAGAAGAGGCGTCTGTGCAAAGCTCCTGAAAGGGTTTCAGCGCCCGCAACCACGGCACACCACAAGCGGTGATCTGAAAGTGTTGCTACATTCCAGAAAAACAGACAATGCCTCGAGCAAAACCAATTTGTGCTTGGATTTATGTGGGGCTGCTTTCTTGCATGGATGTTGGCTTGCAAAGAGCTTACACTTAAGGCCAGCCGAAAGCCTTGCGCATATTCCCTGCAAAGTCCGAATGTGTTGAGGCTTTAAGCCTGTTCTTCAGACCTTCAGGGTGCACGTGGATGGAAGAAGCGCTCTTGACTCGAATGCACTCTGCCATGAATTGCATGACCTGCATGTCACGTGCTCGTAAACGGTGCGGGAGCTGCCGAGGAAACTTTTCAAAGCGCTGCGGCTCTATCCAAAGTTCTGCTCCTGCGGGTTCCTGCCACCAATGGACAAAAAAGCCAATGGATGCTGGATGCGAACACACCAAACGAGACGATGCACTGCTGGCATGGACGTCAACCTAGTGATGGACTAAAACCAATACACCTTCGTACTGTTGGCGCTGCGAGCATGCACAAGGTCGTGGCTTAGGGTATGGATACGAACACAACTACCGGACTCACTGCTTGCATGGACGTCATCACGGCTCGTTGGGAAACGGGAACGAGTGCGAAAGCAGACTATACTGGATGCACCGCTGGAATGCGCATTGTCATGGTTTGTGTGGGCATGAATGCAAAAGCAACAACAAGGTGATCCAGAGGTGCTATGGAAGTTGTCATGGTTTGCCAAGGCATGATACGAAATGACAAAAGGATGCACTGCTCGTGCGGACACTGTCATGTTTTGCTATGGAGCCTGGATGGGCCAAGCCTACGGCTTGCACGCTAGGACATAGATGCGAAAACTAAGGGCGGACAAACTGCTGGATGTGTATTTTCATGGTTGCATGGGCATAGATGTGACAAAAGCAAACTGATGCACTGCCGGCTTCGACTTTTTTATGGTTTGCATGAGTATGTATGCGGGTTTGGGTTGGGGAGCCGGAACATCGCAAGTAATATCCGACTTCGGAGTGGTGTTATGGTAAGGCAGAGAAGACTCGAACGAGTGAAAGCGCATGGATCTTGAGGGCCCGTACCGCAGAATCAGGTGTTAGACTTCCGTCTGTTTTCTCCAATGTCTCTTTCACAACCAGTCGGAACTAACCACTGCGGCGCACGCAGCTCATGTACTGCCACTTCACTCGCATCACACCTGGCATTTGCCAGGCTTGCAGCAAATCAGTAGACCACCACCACGCACGCCTTGACCAACATCCATGACATAAAGGCGCGGCTCCTGCCCACGCAACAGCTCCATCCAAAGCCAGTCAAAACATGCACTCCATCCTTGGGCTGAGTCGGAGGAGCAGGCAGTTTCAGTTCACCTCCACTGGCTCCCATGTCGGACGACGCAGATGTCTCTCAAGCAACGTGAAGTTCGGCCTATGCAGGCGGGCTTGCTGATAGCGGACTCGCAGCACCACCGGTTGTTGATGAGAAAAGACACCATGGCCTGCAGTCCGTCATGGTACACAGCAAAGCACAGCGAAGCAGAAGCAGGCAAATCTTCCTTCTCAAGCAGCTGCGGCTCGAACTGGCTGCTACAAACTGATGTCCAGATTTCAGAATTTCCTTCGCGACTTAGCTGCAAGAAAATCGCTTCAGGCACTAGAAATCGGTGAGACAGCCGTGCGTGCATGCGTGCGACACTTTCTGCTGTGGAGTCTCCACAACCTGACCTCACCGTGTAGAGAGCGTGGGTGCTCTTTCATGCAATGCGTGCATGTTTAGCCAGCAAAGCAAACGCCAAACTTTCCGATACAAAAAACACGCCAAAAGAACAGAAAAGAAGGCAGCGTTACACTCCTTCTGCAAAATAGGGTCGGCTACCCAGTCCTGGCACACGTGTGTGAGGTGGTTGTATGCATTGACCACAATATACTGACTGATGCATGACAGGAGCTTCCTTGCATCAGGACACGTGCGATGCATAAACCCGTAATCCAAACCAAACCGAGGCATGTCAGTCAGCAGTGCACCCTTGCTCAGCCTAAATCAAACAACGCTTCCCCCCGGCCCCAGCCTATGCCCATGCACAACCAACGCATCCTGCCAGCATAAACCCTCGACAGGGCTAATTCCGGAACTTGCCCTAGAAACTGTCTGAAACCCGTGGCCGAAGAGCTCAAAACCCGCGGCGGAGGGAAAAGTTGGGTGAAATTGCAATCGTGGCATCGTTTTTTCACTCGCTCAAGCCTCCTCAACAAGCAGCTGACGTTTCGCTTGCTGTTTCAAACGCCAACTACGCTGACATGCTGGTTGAGACGATAGGCCCGAAATTCCTCTGTGCTCCTCTCGAGACCCGTCGTCCAATCCTTCCACGACGACGCGGCTCCCTCCCGCCTCGTACTCGATGCCTTCCTCCAGGCCGGTCGCTATCGTCTCAGAGGCTGGGGCGGCGATGGCACCGCCGGTACCTGCGTACTGAATAGCCGGGAACTATGCCTGAAGCTTCTTCTGGTGCAGAAAGAGACGGCTCAGGCCATGACAGAGATACCAGTTCTGGTTGCCAACACGCCGAAGCCTTGGACACAACCGGCGATGGTCCCCGCAGCGTTTGCAGAGACCCTTAGGCATTGGCTTGACAATAGTCTGTTTGGCCTCGTCGGGAAGCTTCCACTTCACCTCTCATGGCAGGCTCGGCAGCTTGGTGCGAGTGGGGCTTCCACAAGCGCGAGAGATGCCTTCATCTTGCCATCACCCTGAGGCACCATCACTGGAACCTGAGGCTGTGCGACACAGTGAGTGCATGCAACTGCTCTGGGGCGATACATCGCTGACCTCGGTGCTGGCCCCCTCATGGATCACAAGCTGCATACCACCAATTTGCCCCTGAGAACAAACAAGGTTTGGAAGTCTTGAGCTGCAATCAGCAGAAGCACGTCCTTGGCATCAATGTTGGCGACACTATCACTTGCCATAGAATAGTCTCCAAATCCCTGCCATCACTGCAGAATCGATCACAGTCATTGGAACTCTGACGGGTTGCAGGACGTCACCTCTGCGTTGCGACAGCAAATTTCTGCTGCATATTCCACGCAGTCCTGACAGGTGCTGCAATGCACAGCCGGCATGCAGGTCAATGGATGGCCTGAACATCTTTGATGTGAACCTGCGCAGGGGTGGCAGCGCAACCCTTCCTGGTACAGAAACGCGGATTCAGCCTCTGTTCGGCTGGCCGCGAAGGTCGTCCGGCCAGAGGTCACCAAAGCTCCAGTTGCGTCGACAAGCCACTTGTTTCCTAGCCAGCACCATAATTAATCATAAAGTCATGAAGAAGTCAAACAGCATCTGCGAGTCCTGTTCCGACATCTGTGAGCTGCACCTTGGGCAAAGTCACGACACCACCCCAAAGAGGATTCTATCACCAGCAGTAGAGAGCGAGAGAGCACAAGACGAGACTTCAATGGACACCAGCAAGGCAAGGCCACCTGGGTTGCTTCCACCGGTGGGCACGCACTCGGGATCGCCTGAACAAGGGCTGAAGTTGCAAACTGAGAGCCTGCACACATGACATGGGTCTTTCAGGGCTTCCGGCCCAAGAAACTCGCAGCTTCCCTTTTCCCAGCGCCGTGAGGGTTGGTGACGTCGGTCTGGGCGGCTTCTCCTCTTTGCATGGGCATGGGTCAAAGCCGCGCTAACCTCAGAGTGGCCCAGTCCCGCGGCTTGAGGCTTCCGAAGAAGCCAGGATCGCTGAACCGCGATGGCCTCAAGCATCCAAGAGCTTCCGGAGCATACAAACAAAAATCTTGCACATCATGTTCCCGGGAGCACTGCTCACTCCAGCCCTCGCTGTTCATCACAGCGAGAACAGCCTTGCGAGAAGATGTAGGCATGCCCCACACCCTGCACTTCTGCGCATCTTGAACTTGGAGCTTGGTTCGCTTGCGGAGATGTCTCACAAGGTCTGGCTTCAGAAACATACTCAGAAGACATCAACTCGCCCACCTCATACTCGAGGCCTTCCTCGCATCCGTCTACGGTTATTTCGCAGATCGGCGCCGGAATCTGGGCAAGCGGAAGGGCTTGCAATGTGAAGAAGCACAATGAAAATGACTCGGCTTCGCACAGCAGTTCCACCCTTCGGAACAAGTTTGGACGTACCATGGTCATAAACATGAAGCCTGCCAGTCGCATCTCTGTGAAAAGACGGCATGCACACACACACACACACACACACAGAGAGAAGCGAACTTCGAGTTTGCGAGGCTTTGCGAGGGCCTGTGACCGCCCCGTATTCGAAGCTTCAGTGAAGATGCGGTGACCTCTTCATAGCTGGCTTTCAACATGTTCCTGGATGACTGAAAGAATAAGGCACATGCTTCTGGCTCGACGTCTGGGATGATCCAAGAGATCCTATCAGACATATCTTGTTGCCATGCAGTTGCTGCCGCAAGCCTTGCTTGGGTCTAGCAGGTCAGTCGGCAGAGATGCGCTGTTGATGGCCTACCCACATAAGCGCACCATCTAAGTCAACACTCAGGGCCATGACGAAACCAAAATACAAGAGAAGGCTCCAACTACCATAGCAATGTTTCGTATTATGTCTCCTCAAAGACGAGCTCGCACCGGCTACACACGGCCTTGCAAGCATAATCAGTTGCTCGGAAACGCATGGTGAATGCAAAATTGAATGCCGGCCGAGCGGCTTCTCAGGCGCAGGTGGCTTGGCCATGGCCGTGCGCCGTCCCAGCAGGGACCTGCAGAGCAAGGAGAGAGGGCTTCTCGCACGAACCGAGAAATTTCCGAAGGCTCGACCCGGGCCTTCTGGGTTGCAACGGATGCCGCCAAGCTTCAACGTTGCGAGCAAATTACACGATCTGGTTGTTCTTCAATGGCTGCCAACTCCTATGTCCCTAGGATAGTCGTGATAATCCTTGGTACATGTGCTTGCTGCTTGCACTAATGCGATATCATTCTCCCAAACATGCGACAAACACAAACTCGTGGTTGTCGTCCTCGTGGTTGTCGTCCTCCCTTCTACCCACATGGCAGCTCCGGCAACAATGCAAGCGATTTGCGTTCAACAGGTTTCTTGCGTAATGCACATACATATGTTGATGAGAGATGCTAAGTTGCAGTTGTAGACGACATACCAATGCGCATACCGCATACCGAACCAAGAACCCTCGAATAAACTGAAAGCAACATCGTTCAGGCTTCTCGAAGCCAGAACCATTCATGTCTAACCTCACAAATTGCATCTGCTTCATTGACGAGAGCGCACCACCACAAGACGAGGAAACTCAGTGGAGTTGTTGTATGACGTCGGGGCCTGTTCAAGATTGCGGCATGAGTGGGCAACATCGAAAGCAAACGAGTAAAACATGCTCATTCAACAGTAACAACTCCGATCACCACTTAGTCGGTCTGTCGTCTGTTGTGCCACGAATGTCTGCCCTGTATCAATGTTGGCCGTTGCCCGTGGTAGACTGCAGCACTCTCCTGTCTCATGCATCCCAAAGTTGGGGAGCCCTCATGAACACTTCCCCGATGTTGGACAAAAAAATCTCCAAAGGGACTCTCCAATAGTGTGAAAAAACTCATCCGCTATTGAATCTTCATCGCTCTCCAATTGCATTACATTGGTTTCAGGAACGCAAAATGCGAACCGATGAAACCGTAAGCAGACCTCTTTCTTGTTTCCATGAAACCGAAAACTTTGCCGCACCGATATTCCAAAGCTTGAAAGCCTTAGGTTCAACGGAGTTCGGCTATTTTGGGCTCACGCCAGAAGACTGCACAGGTGGAAAACACAAAAGTAAAAATTGGAATTCTTATGACACACACGCACGTTCTACCTGTCTGAGCAACCACAGACATATGCAAGGGCTGTAAAGTTTGCTCACCTTGACTGAGATTCGCTTGCACATTGCATGCGAAACTCACTGAAACCCACCTCAAATGCAACAACTCTGGACACCATCCAAAAGAAGCATTGCTGCACGAACCGGTTGTTTCTCGCACGGTCTGGATGGCGTAACGTTCGTCCAGCATTCATTCTCAAGGTCCAACTCTGTGCAACAATCCGAAAAATGCCGCCATGTGCTCATTCTAAGAACACCTTGACAGCAACTCTCAAGATGGAAGCAGCTTCCATATGGCTTCTGCGATGGTACACCAGCTCGTGAGGACAAACTCGACCTTGTCAGTCACTTCCCGTGGTTTGAAAAAAGGCTTAAAGAAGGCCTAAAGGGTTTAAAGCGAATGAAACAAAAGCAGAAAACATGAAAAAACAGAGACGCACAAAGGCCGCACAAAATCATTCCTCCTCAATCCCACTTTTTGCAAGTTGCAAACTCCCTGCAGCTTTGAAGCCCAGACCGCAAAACTTAAAACTTCAAACCCCAAAGCGAAACAGGAAGAACGTCAACACAAAACCAGCGAAAAATCGATCAAAAGTGTCCACGAAAATCTGAGCAGCTGCAATGGTCGGACGCGGCCTTCAGGCCCCTATGCACCACCAGCTGCTGTTGGGGTCCCCAGCACTGGTGAGATGGGCCAAAGAGCTCTAGCGGGGACGGGGAACAACAACAACAACCCAGGGAACCCAGGTTGGAAACCTGGGTTTAACTTGAACCTGGGTTAAACCGGGGTGCGAACCTGGGTTCAACCCCGGGTTAAACCCAGGTTTAAACCCAGATAAAACCCAGATTTGAATCCAGGTTTGAAACCCAGGTTCTAACCCAGGTTTGGAACCCGAGTTTAATGAACCCAGGTTCAACCCAGGGAAACCCAGGTTCAAACCCAGGTTAAACCCAGGTTCCAAACCAGGTTTGAAAACCCAGGTTCTAACCCAGGTTTGGAACCTGGGTTTAAAACCCGGATTTTTAGCCAGGTTGAAACCCAGGTTAGAACCCAGGTTAAACCCAGGTTCCAAACCCAGGCTTGAAACCCAGATTCTAACCCAGATTTAACCCGGGTTTGAAAAACCAGGTTACAACCCAGGTTTGAACCCAGGTTTGAAACCCAGGTTCTAAAAACCAAGGTTTGAAACCCAGGTTCTAACCCTGATTTGGAACCCGGTTTCAAAACTCGGGTTAAAACCCAGGTTATAACCCAAGGTTTGAACCCAGGTTTGAAACCCAGATTCTAACCCAGGTTTGGAACCCAAGTTTAAAACAGCCAGGTTTAACAAACCCAGGTTGAAACCGTTAAATCCAGAAGGGCTTCAACGCAGGAAGGTTTTACGGTTTAGATGGCTTCAAAGGCGGGAGTTTGCAATTTAGAAAAAGTGGAAGGGTTGGATGGGCGCAGCCTCCCCCCATTCAGTTTTTAAGAGCGGGTCCCGCTGAACGATTTTATGCGGCCTTGGTGTGAATTTTCATGTTTCTGCTTCTCTTATTCGCCTTTAACCCCCTTAAGCGATTTCGTCCGGGCGTCTCCTTTCGTGTCGAAGAAGGCAATCCTAGAAAACAGAATCGAAGACATGAAAACGGAAGACACATGAAGACTGCATAAAATCGTTCGAGGCTGGCTCTTAAAAGCTCAATGGACGCTGAGGACATTCCACACGAAATCGCCTGAGAGGCTAAAAAGCGAAACACATGTTCACGAAATCGCTTTCGCAAGCTTAAACGCAATGATCTGCTCGTTTTAATAAACATTGCACTCTCCGCGCGATTTGAAAACATACCAACTCAGGTTCAAATTTTTGACCCACAAGCTACGGGTCCTTAGCGACCGTTCCACAACAACAGCGGGCCGTCGCCCAAAGCTGTCCAAGACCAGTGGAGCCCAAGTCAAGGCTGCGGCCGCCGTTCTAGTTCCGTCGAACAACGGTCGGCCTTGAGGTCCTGTTGTGTCTCGATCGTGCAGGAAAATCCACAAGTCCAGAAGCTAAAGGCCAGAGGCAGTGTTTTTTGGCTTGACTGGGCCTCGTCGACTACGGCTGTAGCACTCGGTCCCTACAAACAAGCGAAACTACAAACCAAGCAACAAACTACAACAAAGCGGTGAAACAGCAAAGCGAAGCTCTACCAAGGGCTGCGGCGCACAGGCTTTGTCGGTGTTAGCCGTTCAGCACAAACTACGGAGCCTCAGCGACCGGTCAGGGGCAACAAAGAGCCGTCGCTCAGAGCTGCCCAAAACAACAAGTGGAGCCAAGTCCAGGCTCCGGTTGCCGTTCTAGTCTCGCCAGACAACGGACAACCCCTGTGTTTTGTTCCGTCACGATCGTGCACACCAAAATCCACAAGTCCAAAGTCCACGGTCGGGCGACGTAAGGTGAAGGCACCCAGGCAGTGAGGGCCAGCCAAAGGTGACAGAAGCGGCGTTCTCGCTCTTACTAACCGCAACATATACCGATGGTGACGCGACCAATGCCAGGCAGTGACGACGACCTACGACAAAGCAGAGCCCAAACACGAGGCCGTAAGAGAAGCAGCGTTCTCGCGCTTACTAACTGCAACCTTGCAACCAGTTGAGAAAAGACACGGACCTAAGCAGACGCTAGAGGCGAGCGTGCAGAAGTGACAGAAGCGGCGTTCTCGCTCTTACTAACCGCAACATAAACCGATGCGCGGCCAATGCCAGACAGAGACGACGAAGCTACGACAAAGCAGAGCCCAAACTCGAGGCCGTAAGAGAAGCAGCGTTCTCGCGCTTACTAACTGCAACCTTGCAACCTGTTGAGAAAAGGCACAGACCGAAACAGACGTTAAGAGGCGGGCATGCAGAAGTGGCAGAAGCGGCGTTCTCGCTCTTACTAACCGCAACCTTCACCGAAATGTCACGACCAATTCGGGCGGCGACAACCGCGCAACGACAAAGCAGAGGCCAAACCCAAGGCCGAAAGAGAAGCAGCATACTCGCGCCTGCTAACTGCGACCCTGTCCCGTTGGGCAAAGGCACCGCCCGAAGCAGACGTCAAAAGGCAAGCATGGAGGCGGGCGTCCCAGAGCCACCGATACGCCTCTTAGGCGCCTCCTGCGAAATAAGCCGTAGATTTTTGAGGCCTTGGCTATGATACCTCTTCTGCAGGTTTTGGGAGCCCCCCCCCTAGGGCTACACTGCCAAGGACAGCCGTTTGAACATGAGAAGCTGAAAAACCTGCCCTACATCTTAACTAACCCTGCGCAGCGCCCTAAATTTTTAGAAGGGCTCAGCCAAAGGGTGGGACGGGTACCCAACCCCTAAAAAGCGCAAAAGCTCTCGGCAAAACCTTATTTCCATTAAGCTGGGTAGCGATAGTATTTCGCCCCCGTCACGATGATGTTGGAAGCTTTGCGGCGTATGCAGACGTCAAAAGGCAAGCATGGAGGCGGGCGTCCCCGAGCCACCGATACGCCTACTTAGGCGCCTCCTGCGAAACAAGCCGTAGATTTTTGAGGCCTTGGCTATGATACCTCTGCAGGTGTTGGGATCCCCTACCCATTGGCTATACCAAGCACCACCGCTTCAGCTTATCGGGTTAGGAACCTGCCCTAAATCTTAACTAACCCTGTGCAGCGGCCTAAATTTTTAGAAGGGCTCAGCCAAAGGGTGGGACGGGTGCCCAACCCCTAAAAAGCGCAAAGCTCTCGGCAAAACCTTATTTCCATCAATCTGGGTAGCGATAGTATTTCGCCCCCGTCACGATGATGTTGGAAGCTTTGCGGCTTGCAGCACAGCAAGACCTGCCTCTTGACCTGTGTGGCCCTAACCTTTGCGGCAGCGCGACCTTATTGGAGGCGGAGCAACATTGACCGTTTCCAGTGTTGTCAACTGCAAGACTACTTGCTGAGCCTCCACAGCACTGATTGTTACCGGCTGACCTTGCGTATGAAGGGGCCGTGCTTCAAGCAGATGCTGGAAAGTTTCAAAGACGGCCCATGCCGAGCGTCTTTAATGATCTCCAACCTACCTGCGTGCATGAACAAGCCCTCCTGACCTACTTCTGGGTCGAGTGAAAGGTTTGGCCTTCGAACCTTTGGAGAAACTGCTAAGGCACAGGGCGCCCGATCATGCTGCACAGGCAACTGAGCAGGTGACAAGGGTGGCTTTACCGGCAGGCCACCACGCCGAGCGTTGACTGCGTGAGTCTCGTCACCCAAGCACAGAGAACCGTTCAAGAGCGGGCACAACCAACCCCGCAACCGCACAAGCAAGCCCCCCCCAGAAGCTCTCAAAAGCTCTCGGCAAAACCTTACTTCCATCAATCTCTATACATCTTCTTTATGGTCGACAGTCCCTACAACAATCTGGGTAGCGATAGTATTTCGCCCCCGTCACGACGATGTTGGAAACTTTGCGGCGTGCAGCACAGCAAGACCTACCTCTTCTACAGCTGGCTGTAAGGCGAGACGTGGAAGGCATGTTCACAGTGCGTGTGCGCTCAAACACAGATGGCGGCGGCATAGGCAGACTGAACAGGTGACAAGGGTGGCTTTACCGGCAGGCCACCACGCCGAGCGTTGACTGCGTGAGTCTCGTCACCCAAGTACAGAAAACCTTGGCAAAACAGGCACAACCAAACCCACAACTGCACAAGCAAGCCCCCCCCCACGAAGCTCGCCTGGCGAGTGTTGGTCTCCCAGCTGGGATCTCGGGCTTTTGGCTATGACTCCCCCTCTGCAAGTTTTGGGTTCCCCTACCCTTTGGCTATACCAAGCCGCTTCAGCTTGTCGGGTTAGGAACCTGCCCTAAATCTTAACTAACCCTGTGCAGCTCGAACCCAGGTTCCGGAGCCGAACATCTCTTCAACAGAAATGGGGCCGCGATGCGGTAGCCCAAACGCTTCAGCCAAACCAAACTGGATCCACGCCGTGCAACTGCCAGATACTTGAGCCAGACAATTCCGTGGGCTCGACCACTTGACCGAAACGAAATCTCATCCAGCTCGACATCTGCGCTGCACAATCCAACCACGATGGCGTCGTTCATCTGGTCGATGATCGGCACGAAGTGCTGGTTGAAGGTCTCGAAAAGCGTTCGGATTGCCCGATGATCAACGCCCAGAAGCAAGCTGCAGTCGTCTGGTGAGAGGTGGAGCTTGGAAGAGTAGAGCCAGAGAGCTCCTGCAATGGCCTTGAGAGGAAGTCTCTGGCCACCAAACAAGTCCGCGTCCACGTTTGTAAGAGCTACAGTCTTCCTGCACACTTTGCAGCGCCAGTTGCAAGCACCTCCACGAGGCTCTAACTTCCACTTTGAACTCTGGCAACTGCAAGTTTTAGCTGCAGGAGCTTCACTGCAAAAGTTTTTCTCGATGAGAACCTTCGCAATCTCCACAGGAGAGGCTTCAAGGATCTCAGCCAAGGAAGTTCTGCCTTTCAGTTTTGTGCTGCCTTTGTGACGGAGAAGAATCTGCGAAACATCCTTGGCCGTTCCAAACGCCGCGACTACTTCTAGTCATGACACTTCATGTGGTAGAGTCTGCCGTCTTAATCGCCGCGTCCGCCAACAACTCCGTCTTCAAAATAGTAGACCAAACCTGGGTTTCGAAACCCCCGGTTCAACCCAGGTTTCCGAACTTGCCCTTGAAGAAAGAAATAGTTTGGAATGGCCCGCCTTTCAACCCAGGTAACAACCTGGGTTCTAACCCAGGTTCCAACCCCAGATTACAACCCAGGTTTAAACCCAGGTCCAACCCAGGTTGAACCTGACGTCAACCCAGGTTCAAACCTGGGTTCGAACCTGGGTTCCGAATCCAGGTTCAAACCGAGTTTGAACAACTCGGCGGGCGCGGCGTTTAAGACGGCAGACTCTACCACATGAAGTGTCTACGAGTCTACCATAGAGGCCCTGCACGAGAGGACACCAAAACCCTCCCACTTTCCGTGCCTGGAATTGGGCCCGTGGAGCGCAGCACAGAATCAAGGGCTTTTTCATGAACGGTTCCACGACAGCGTGGCGCAAGTGAAAAACTTCCAATGGAAAAAAGGCGGCCTCTGCTGCTGTCACTCCGCGTCTGCTTGGCCTGGTCCTGCGGCCAGAGCAGTCAGGACGCGAAGCAACCAGTATAGGAAGAGAGCCTGCAACCGGAGCACAAGCACGCTCATCTTCCCCCAGGCCTGCTGGCAGGCAGTCTTTGTTGCAAATCAGTCGCACAGACGCGTGTGGCATTGCCCGGTCCTGAGCCGGAAGCACGCTCACCTGCCACAAAACTGCCGTCAGCATTCATGGCTGCACTGCTCACCCCACATAGTCCCAGTATTATACTTCCGCTCGTGCCTAAAGGGTGAGCTTGTTCTTCACACGTTTCGTTTGGATGGAGTGCAGCCGGAAGGAATGCATTCAAGCGGAAAGCCTCAGCTTGGGTACTTGGGACATAGGAATGTGAGGCCGTGCTCCTTCAAGGTAGCACTTTGCCCCGACAGGTAGAACGTCTCTGTACACATTGGCTTGGAGCCATTCCGATGCCAGGAAAGGTGTCGAATCTACATCAGCATCCAGTGTAACGCAAATGGGAACGCCCCAAAGGAAGACTGAGTAGCTGTAGATCCCAGTGGCCGATTCACCCAACATGTGCAGGTCCACATTGGCCTGGAGCAGAGCTCTGTATTTCAATATCAGGGACCACTCTACGAGGTTGTCCAAGATGAGGGCGTCGTGGCGACCGTACTGGAAGCTCTGCAAGTTCAAGACATCCTGGCCCTGGATAGTCAAGACAAAAGGCGACTTGAACAAGGACTTGACAAAGGAAGTCTTGGCTGCTTGCGACGGTCCCTGCAGTGCGTAGAGTTTGCACCGGTCTCTGGCCCAGCGAAACTGCTCCAAGAAGTGCGGCAGGCAAGGAAACAACCTGAAGCTGCCGGGTTTGTAACACACACAGACAGACACACACACACACAAAGAGACAGACAGAGAGACAACAGAGAGACAGACAGACAGACAGAGACAGACAGATAGACAGACAGACACTCGCCTCATCAGACTAAAACTTTCTACCTTGGATCCATGGCACGGGTCATCATGGGATCGGAAAGGCAAACGTGCAGAGGCCAAGATCTGTACGACTGTTTCACGATACTCCTCCAGCTGCAGCGCATTCTCAGAGTGGACAACAGCTTCGAAGTTTTGCAGCAGCCCACGATAAGACTTCTTGCATTTAAGCAAGTAGCTTTTATACTGCTTGTTGCTCAGCTTTCCGGTCGCCCACCACCCCATGAGCCAGAAGGGCTGCACTTCGTAGTCCACAAAAGGCCAATAGTTTGTGAAGGACCAGAGAGTGCCGACCTTGCTGCAGTAAACATAAAAGTGAGCACGATTTCGAGAAACTTGCACGTGGCCACCTCTGGCTTTGTTCAGCTCCTGCAAGATCCAACAGTAACGGAAGTGTTTCTGTAACTCAGACCATGTGTTCTAGTCCTAGCAAAAACTTTTGCTTTCATCGAGCGGCAACATGAGGTCGAACACCCTAAAGACGAAGTCTGACACTGACGTGCGATCAATTCTCTGTTTGAACGTTATCTGAGCGTGCAAATGGACTCGTTGCGATTCACCGGCTGCATGGACAGATTCTTCCAGAGTCAGAGACATGTGCAGGATTGGTTCGCGGAATTTTTGTGGCAGTTCTTCCAAAGCCCAAGTCTGGAATCTGGCCACAAGGTGCACACCTTGGGACGCAAACCATTCCTCAGCATTTTCGTTTTGAGATCTCCACGGACCATGATTGAAAGTCAGCTGTAGATCCTGTCCATGAATCCGGAAAGACCTACCGCCGGACTGCGACTGAACCTGGAAGGAGGCGCTTGGTTGCGATGGCTCCTCCGGCATTGAAGAAGCTGCACCTACAGACTGCTCGCCTGCCTGCGCATCCTCGAAGTTCAAGGCTCTTCCAACCGCTGTTTCATATTGTCGCACGGTGTCTTCGAGAATTTGAAGCTCCTCGCCTTGCAGAGCCTCAAGCAATCCGTGGACAACACAGCTGCGTGCTCGCTAACACAGCACGCAAAATTTCGGCAGCCCTACGCCTTACACAAACCTCGCTCACACGTCGTAGAGTGAGGTGTACGTTGGCAGCCCAACTAGCCCGTCTCAGACCGGACGGTTCACTGCCGTCCCGTGGAGTTGTAACTCGTAAACTAGTACTCACCAAAGGACCCGCATAAAACACAAGGAAGACGATACCACCCACACGTTGGGCCCAGTAGGAGTAGGTCGGTCGCTTAAAACCACGATGCTAGAATGAAAGTTTTAAAGTACCTCGAGCCTACGTGTAGCGGAGTGCAACATACTAGGCGTACACAACCAATTGAAACCTTCGTTGTCGAACCTACAACAACCGCACAGCCGACTAAGTTGACGGACTTCCAGAAACCAGAAACACACTCTGACTTCAAACAGAGAGAGGCGTCTCGGAGCTGCGCAACGCGCTCTGCCAGAATTTGTCCGCCCACATCCCGGCTGAGCTTTTCTGGGCTTTGCAGAGCTGTGCTCAGCCTGCAAATGGTTTTGACGGCGGAGCGGCGCTCCTCGCGCTGATCAGCAGTCTCCTGCACAGGCATGATGCCTCTCGCCTGCTGCTGACTAGAAGACCAAACGACTTATATATTCGGGTAAGATGATGAGGTCTCGAGCGAAACGTCTGTTTTCAGTAACTACGTAAATTGGCAGCGGTATTTCCAGCCGAGGATGAGCCCAGCTAACGCAGTCTCCCAGCTCTACGTTCGTGTGAAAGCAAAAGTGCTACGGCTTGAACCAACCAGCGCAGGTGCCAAAGTCAGCTACTCTGTCTACTGTCGCAACAGCACATCCACATGCTTGCAATGGGTCTGCAGAGTTCTTAACCTTCTCAGCAAGACACAGACAATTTTTGTTCTCCAGCAAACGCAGGCTCACTTGGCCTTGCCATCTGCGGGCACCACCTGCGAGGAGGCATGGAAGAGCAGAAACCCGAAGCGAAGAAACGACCAACCCAGCCCCGTGCCTCCTTTCGCTTCTTCTTGCCACCGTTGCAGTTGACCTTGAGCAAAACAGCTTGTGCAGTTAACCCAAACACCGCAAGTTGACGCACCTGTTTGGAAAGAGAGGACCAGTGCGTGTTGCAGAGTTTGTCGCCGACGACAAGCTCCACTCCTGACCTGAAAACAACGGCCGTGGCAGAATCTCAGAAAGCCTTTACTGCGCAGGTTTTGATCGAGCTCCACACTTTGTCTTCCACTTCTTCTCCGCTGCTTTCGCGATGTGCTCCTTGCTCTGAATACGTCCAACGGCGGCACGACAGCAAACGCAACAGTAGGCGTGAGTCAAAATCAAAACATCTGACCTCAGTCATTTCGCGAAGAACAGACGCACCTTCGGCGTCAGGTCTTTCTCAATGGTTTTGCCTTACAACAAATGGCAAAGCATCGAATCGAATACTCTAGCATGATTACCTCGCCGAGACCTGGGCGGAGCTTCTTGGCCACAGAAACTCTTGTGGGTGCTGGAAGCTTCTGAGCAGGAGCACAGTCGCAGAATTAATCGGAGCTCAGGAACCGTCTGACCTCGAAGATCTCCACAATTTCTGCGACAGTGAACTTCCGCGCAAGTCTTTGTGCGACTTCGGCGGGCGGTAACATAAGAGTGAGACTTCACATAAGGCGTCAGAACATTCGCCGACAAACGTCTCAGGCCCTCACATCGCGGTGAAAGACAGCGCAAAGAAAGCTTTGAGAGCAAACGCTACAGGCAGCACTTGCAACGCGAAAGAAAGCAAAACTTCCATGCAAAAATTGGCAAATGCGGTCAAGTTACGTTGCAAGAGAGCAAAAGTTCCACGCAAAAATTAGCAAATGCAAAAGCCCGCTCGCTCTGGAACCAGCCCGGCCACTGGTGGAAAAAAGCTGCTCAAACGGTGCATAGGTTTTTGGAGTGTTCCGGAACCCAGGGTTCGAACCCGGGGGGCCCGGGAGGGGGGGGAGAACATATAACTCCGGAACTCAGGGTTGAACCTGGGTTCGAACTTCTCGAACCCAGGTTGAACCTGGAGTTTGAACTCTATGTTCAAACCCTGGGTTCGGGAACTCTATGTTCGAACCCGGGGTTCGGGAACTCTATGTTCGAACCCTGGGTTCGGGAACTCTATGTTCGAACCCGAGGTTTGGAGAACTCCACGTTCGAACCCCGGGTTCGGGAACTCCTCCCCCTTTCCCAGAGAATCCGAACCCTGGGTTCGGAACTCTATGTTCGAACCTGGGGTTTGGGGAACTCTGTACCGGAACCCCCGAGTCTCGGAACCCCCCCCGTCCCCCAGGGAGTTCGAACCCTGGGTTCGGGAACTCTATGGAACCTGGGGTTTGGAGAACTCTATGTTGGAACCTGGGGTTCTGGAATTCGTTCTTCCCGGGGCGTTCGACCCCTGTCGGGAACTCCACGTTTAGGGGGCTGCACCCCTCCCCAGCCCCCCGCTGTTTTTAGAAGCTTGCCGAAAACAAAGAAAAACAACAACCAATGACCAGTCCCTGCCACAAAAGAAGAAGAAGCCACACGAAACCGCTTTATGGGCGTTTTGGCGAAGAAATCAAAGAAAGACAAAACAAAGAAAAAGATTGTCAATGACGAAGAGTCTTTCTTCTCAAGGGGGCTTCAGAAGGACATGAAGTCTCCTACGAGAATGTTAAAGGCGAACAAATGAACCGCCCAACCCCAGGTTCTGGACTCCCTCCCAGAGTTCGAACGGGGTTCGAACTTTTCGGGTTCTAGACTCCCCCCCAGAGTTCGAATGGGGTTCGAATCACCAAACAAAAGGAGAAGAAGCCACACAGAATCGCTTTGTGGGTGGTTTTGCGAATAAAATAACTGATAGCACACTACAATGACAGAAACCACAAACTCAACCACAAGCACAAGTAAAAGAGAAGAAGACACACGAAATTGCTAATCGGGTTTTTGCGAAAAAAATAAAATGAGAGAACAAGAAGCAATGAGACAAGAGTTCGAACTCTGGGTTCGAAACTCCATTTTCGAACTCGGTTCGGAAACTCAATGTTCGAAACCTGGGTCTCAACTCTTCAGGACCGCTAGAGTTCGAACTCTGGGTTCAAAATCTTCGCCTTTCAGAGTTCAACTCCAGGTTCAACGTTCAAGAAGTTCGGAGTTGAGTTCAACTTGGAATTCAAAGTTCGAATCCAGGGTTCGGAGGGAACTTCGATGTTCGAACTCTGGGTTCAAGACTCCGAACTCTTAGTTCGGAGTTCCAAAACCCTGGGTTCGGAACTAAGTTCCAAACCTAAAGTTCGAACAGCCCCCCAAAAATCTATGTTGGAATACCTTACGTCCTACAACAAGAAGTCTCTCAGAGCCTTTCCTCTCAACTCTCGACAGCGAGGGAGCCAACTAACTAGAAACGAACCTGCTAGTTACGGACTTCCACCCACTACTCGTCTCCACAGAGCTTCCCTTTAGGAATTCTTGAGCCGAGAGGCTGCCAAAGGAGCTGCAGACTAAGACTAGAAGCAGTAGCAAGACCCATCGACGCAGAGTCAAAAGTATGGAAACTTGTGACCGGATTCTTGGAAGGGAACCGTTTGATCAAGTTGACGCTGCATGTCGTTGCCACTTCTCGGAAAATGAAATTCTTGCAGAAGGCACAGCAATTGGCACTGGCCCTCATCATACAAGTCTTTGAGACTTGGTCTGATTCATGAAGATGCGGCATGAGCTTTGCGGATGAATGGAAGCTGGATTACTTTGCGCGATAGCCAACCAGTTTGTAGACGATTGATGCCCTACTCTTTTATGGAACAGAGATTCGACTCTGGCCTCTGATTGGATTCCGTGGCACTGAGCAATGGATCAGAACTTGGGCCTGGCAGTCTTATGCATGCACTGAGCTTCCAACCCTAGGTGATGGCAGCCGTGCGAAACCCGACACAATGCGGCGTGCAAAAGTCCAGCAGACTGGAGGGAGGCTGTGCCCGAAGCAGAAGCGAAAAGTGTCTCTGAAAGAGGCTAGATTCAATGCAGCGAAACTCCGTACCAGCTTCGAAATTTCCTAGCCAAGACGTCAGAGTCCTCGCTTGGAAGTGGCAGCCACGTTTCTTGGGCCAAAAGAGCAAACTTTCTTGTTGGTAAGCGGAACGAGAAACAAGTTCGAAATCCGTTTGTGACCCTGCAAAGTTTTCCAAGAAACATCTGAGCTCTGACTCTTGCTAGCTCGTTGTGTAGGTGTGCAAGACTTGCCTTACTTTGAAGTTACCGTCTCTGCAAGAGTTTTGGTGGTTCGTTGTTTTAAGAAGTTTTTGCGCGAGTATCCAACACCTACTGGGGAGGCCCCTGTGGCGCACACGTTTTCGAAGGGTTTTTCGGCCTCGAGTATGAGCCCGTCAAATCTGTCAAAATGAAGGTCGAGACAAGGTCCAGGATATTCGGGAGGCTCCCACATAGTTTGCCCTGTGCAACCTACAACTTCGGTTTGCTCTCCGGCTCTCTGTTATGTCTGATTGCGTGGAACCCCATCCGCAAAAAACGTTAAACCCAACACACAACATCAAACGTGCCGTTTCGACTACATGCACGCGGGTTGCTATTATCCTAAACCCTCCTGCAGGGCCGCTGAGACGTTTTGACTTGCGTCAAACTATACCAGCTCTTTCTACTCTGACTTACCAACACGTCGCATGGAGTAACGACTTCGTAGCAAGTGCTACAGTTTCAGCTACTCCGTGCCTCACTACTCCGCGCGACTGAAGCTTGGACTGCCCGCTCGGGTGGCGAGGTTTAGCGAGCAGAGCGAGGAGATGACTTCAGACTGCTGAGCCCTCAGGCACTGGATTTGGTGGCTCTGCTGCGACAATCCTAAACCGCACCAACTCCGGAATGTCTGTAAAGGTATCGTTTTAAGGAGCACGGCTGTCTCGCCAAATCCCCGGACTTGCACGGACTCCAACATGTAGCTCAGAAACGCAGCGCGAAGCACGGTTTTCTCAGCAAACCCGGCGCGGACCTGCGCGGACCCAAGCATCTAGAGCAGAAACCTATCAGAAACCTAGCACGTTTTTCTCGGCAAAACCGGCGCGGACCTGCGGTTTTGTTGGCAAACCCGGGGCGGACCTGCGCGGACCCAAGCCTTCAGCAGAAACCGTTCGCACGGTTTTCTCAGCTGTGGGAACACGAGCATTTAGCCCAGAAACCCAGCACGGACCACGGTTTTCGCGGCAAAGCAAGCACGGACCTGCACGGAGCTGAGCATTTTCTCGGCAAAGCTAGCGCGGACCTTGGTGTTGGAAATTACAAAGATTACAATAAGCAGATACCGCAATTGGAGCAGCAAACCCAGCATTCCGTGTCGCTCTTGTTGTTCAACCGAGCTTAGCCTGGGGGAAGGGGGGTTAACAGAAAGATCCGTCGCAGAATTTGCTATTTCCTAAACCCACGACTGTGGCGGAAAGCAGATTTAAAAAGCACGGGTGCTCCCCGAAATGGCAGGAAACAGCAGCAATCAAGGCCACTACACGCCTCCCGCTGTGGTGAAAGGCAAATTTCCGCGCAGTGAGCTTCCGGGTGAAGCAACCTGCTACACGCA